GTCAGTAAAAATTTTAAAAAATTCCAATTCATGTCAATGTCATCCAAGCTGATGCAATGGCTTGGTCAAGGTCACTTATATTTCATTAAACAGGACCAATCAAGAGGAAGAGTCCTTAATACAACAACTCTGACATTTAGAAAATAAATCATTTTGAAAAATACAATTTTGGAGAGTTTTTCACAATTTGCCTGCCAAGAGCACTTTCAGTTATAAGTCCTTCCTTTGAGAACTATTGTGATATCCCAGTGGGGATTGGTCCACAGTTCCCACTGCTCCTGAAGTGGACATCAGGTGGTCAAAATGGCCGACAAACATGGCTGGCACTCCACCAAGGGTGCCTGTGCATCACAGTCAGCATTCTCTCTCCAGGTAGTTTGTCAGTGAGCAGTTACTCACAGTTACTCCTTGTCACTGAACATTTATAATTTCCTTTTTGGTAGATGAGTAAATCGAGTTTGGTTGTATGCTGCTTTTAGCAATAGTCATGCAATATCATGGCAGGGGACATCAGAAATAGGCTTCACACAATGTACTTTTGTATATAATATATTTTACCCCCCGGCAGTCTATTGGGTACTTAAAACATTGTTTTATATTAAGGGAATTCTTCTTCACATGCTGTATCAGGTGACATCTCATTTGCATCAGTTCATGTGTCACCCGACCGCCTCCCTGGTCTGGAGAGCAGAAGGTCCAGGGTTCGACGTTAAAAGATGGTACTTGTTGTTACCCTGTCTGGCGCTCGGCATTAAGGGGCTAAAACAAGGACTGGTCGGCTCGGAGTCTATACTGTGTCTGAGTGGGGTATTCATGTTAAGCTGTGGCATGGTCTTTCAGTGAGCTAACACTATAAGTTGGCATCAGTCTGAATTAGTACAAGCAGCCACACATGTGCATGCACGTCGCTATATAAGTGCAATAATCTTGGCTGCGACATTAAACTCAATTTCACCTCACCTCATGAGTTATCCAAGTGTGTGACATGTCGAAGAAGCTGACAACAGGGATATAGGTCTACGTTACAGAGAGGGAGATATGACACTTTTCTGCATTTTCCAGTGCAGTTCATGTACGTGATGCTGGCGTTGCATCAGTACAGAAAGATCAGTGAGGATATAGAGGTATGCAAGATGAAAGGCAACACTCACTGGGTAATGAGGCTCAGTGCTGTTATACTATTGGGTTTATTCATTTTCTCATGTGGAATTGTACTCAAACTACATAAAATTAATTGGAGATATTTTGGTTACATTACATTATTCCAGTTATATCACGGCGTGACAGCTTAATGTGGGAGGAAAGCCCCAAGTGATGCAGGTCTCAGACATTTACCACTTTGGTGAAACCCATGAGCAAGGGGATGGTGCTGACAAACCTAGAAACATAATCGGGGTGAACCGGGATTCGAACCAACAATCATAGGTTTCTGGCGTGTCCAGGGGATGCAACTCTGCACAGCGAATCACGGCGCCTTAGACAACATGGCCACCCGTGCCCCCTCTCTGTGTCTAGGGGAGGTGGCGTAGCCAAGTGGTTAAAGCTACGCTTGTCACACTGAAAAGCTGTGATTGAATCCCAACATGGGTATAATGTGCGAAGCCCATTCTCTGTGTCTAGGGGAGGTGGCGTAGCCGATTGTTTGAAGCTAGGCTTGTCACACTGAAAGCTGAGATTGAATCCCAACATGGGTACAATGTGTGAAACCCATTCTCTGTGTCTAGGGGAGGTGGCGTAGCCAAGTGGTTAAAGCTACGCTTGTCACACTGAAAAGCTGAGATTGAATCCCAACATGGGTATAATGTGTGAACCCATTCTCTGTGTCTAGGGGAGGTGGCGTAGCCGAGTGGTTAAAGCTAGGCTTGTCACACTGAAAAGCTGAGATTGAATCCCCAATTGGCACTAGTTCTGTTATCCTTGGCGATTTGCCCAATAGTTAAGGTATCATAAGGACAAGTAGAAATTTGTCATTTTCAAGGGTTTTGTTATATGTTATCATTATAAGGACTAGTGGACTAAAAATGTTAGTTTCTACTGCTGCAAGGGTACTATGTGTGAAGCCCATTCTGGTACGTGTTCACTTCCAGGAAATGGCTGGAACAATTATTGAAGCCGCTAAAACCTCAGTCACTCACTGATGATCACAAACAGACGACCTAATAATTCTCGTGAGCTTAATCATGATTATAATTCAGATCAAACCAAATCTGATTTTCAGAAATGTTTTTTTTTTATGGCTGTCCCAGACACTGAAACAGACTATACGAATACCTCATCAATGAAAACTCTTTTTTTCGCATATCTTTTTACACCTTATCATCAAAAAGCTCCAAAAATAGAATACAGATTTATAATGAAAAAGAAATTCTGAATTTTAGCTATTCATTGATTAACCATTTGTCCGATGGCCGACTAACGCCATTGCATAGTCACAGAGCATGTCCGCAACCTGGCATATTGTCAAGTCGGTACTGAATTACTGAATCACTTATTGATTTTCAAGGCACGGCATCACCATGAGTTGTCTCCCTTTAGTTATATTTGCTTTATGATAGCTAATCTATCATATTTCATGATTAAAACATTTTTCAAGGCACATACAACTCATAAAATATGAGAATCTTAGATGATGATTATTGATTTTCACAAATCGACAAGCCAGGCATCATATACCAAATACATATTTTGTTCATGATTAAGGAACAGAAAAGCAACCTTGAGCTAAAAATGTGCCCAAACAGGTAATTTAACACAACAGCTCCGCAACCAAATACATAACTCTCAGGCTCCCCATCTACTTGATACCAAACAGTAAACTCGGAAAATACAAAGTGACAATGGAACCATGGAGGGCCACCCCTCTTGAGCCTCCTTATGAATATGCATGACACGTTGCCTCAGACTCTAAATTGGCTAATAGCAACCGTGTGATAAATAATAAATTGAATACCAAAAACTACTTGTTCTTCATGAAAACATGAAGAATAGCAATACAGTTGCACTTACCTTTCACACCAAGAGTCCATCCATTAAACTGGAATACAGATCAATATTGACTTACCTGTTGGCGGGGTATCTTCAGGTGCCTCAGGACGTGGAAGTATTTACTGTTTCAAAGCAGTGTGTGAAATAATTTTGAACACAAGTCAGTCAGGCTAACTAGACAATGTTTGATGAGATGAATTTTAAAATTGAATAGCCATTTTTTCACACTACTGAATACTGGAGGAAACTGGTAGCAGAAAGAGAAAATGTATGTCAAGTTTCAAGGAGGGTAAAACTTCAGTGTGCGTGAGTCAATATGAAACAGGTTTCTGTCCCTTGTAGAACGAGTGAGTGAGTGAGTGAGTTGGTTTTAACACCGCTTTTAACAGTATTCCAGTTATAACACGGCGTGTCAGCTTAATGTGGGAGGAAAGCCTGAAGTGATGCAGGTCTCAGACGTTAACCACTTCGGTGAAACCCACGAGCAAGGGTATGGTGCTGACAAACCTAGAAACATAATCGGGGCGAACCGGGATTCGAACATACAATCATAGGTTTCTGGCGTGCCCAAGGGACGCAACTCTGCACAGCGAAGCACGGCGCCTTGGACGACTGGGCCATGTGTGCCCCCCTATCTTCTAAAAACCCATCTCTATGGGGGAACGCAGATCCAGCTATTTAAGGCCCCGCAATTAGCTGTGCAGTGTTGCATCCCTTTGGTGTAACTGAAATATTGTTCACTCACTCACTCACTCACTCACTCACTATCGCACACCGTGTGAACCAAGCAAGAGTTCCCGAGCGTGACTAAAGGCCCACCCACACGGTGCTGATCAATATTCTGTCAGCATGTTCAGCAGAAATCACCTACGTTTGCGTATGTGGCAATCTGTGACTGATCAAGCGTTACCTCAACATATCAATCCAATATGTCTCCTAATATCAATACAAACATTACCATTAAAAACTGAAACTGTAAAATTACACTACCAGTAAATATGTCGCAATATGATATTTTCTCCATTTGATGAAATGTTGCATCGATTCATCAATACATATTTCACTTGACATATTGATATAGAAAGCTACAGCAAAGGACCCTAACAGGGAACATCCTCTTGCATCCAGGGAATTATCTCCAACAGGCAGTTAATACCCTGGAATCTGGATGTGATGGACTTGAAATGGTTCCTAACCCAAGTTCGCATTGGGAATCAGTAGGACTGACAACCCAGCCTGAGCTGCAGGGTATCACCATTATATTATCGATTATTCAGGGATGATTATCGATTATCAGGTCAGGGATGATAATCGATTTGTGACTTCAGTTTATCAAGATGAAGAATACTCATATATCCAGGGTACTGCACACATTCCCTCACCAACTGTTCCATTCAATAGCCTGTTATTCATATTTGAAACCCACGATTAAAATATCTTGCAAAAAAATCAGCTGTCAAATCATGGAACTAATTAGTTACGGAAAGCTGATGAAGTCAATGAAAATATAAACTATCATTTAAGGTAATGTTATTTTTTACCTACTAATTCATTAAGAGAAGGAAACTTCCCTGTTTATAACTCAACTGTTTTTCTGTTTGATTTTCCTATGGCATATTAACTGTGTGTATATCAAAGGAAATATACTCGTTTGCTTAAACTGAATCAAAAGGCATATCCTGACCCCCTTTCATACCCTTCTCTTTTCAGGTATGAAAAAGGAGCGATATGGTAAAATCATAATTCAAAAGTCTAATAACAATTCTTTTGTACTTTTACTACTGTAGTGAATGAAAAGATGTTTATTGCTAATGAAAGCACACAATGACATGAATTGATCGTTGAAATTAATCTGTGCTCAGCTTCTGATTGGACAAAAATGGTTGTAACCGAGGTAACAAGGGCAGAGAATGCAGGCTATTAATGGAACAGCAGAAATGGATACATTACCAGGATCTATGACTTTTGATAACTTTTCAGCTGAAAGGAAGAAATTTTGTCGTTATTATTCTGACCTTTTTACAAGAATACTGGACGGTGAGCAGTCTTTGAGCGTTAAGGGTAAACGATCCACAGGGCACTGTTTCTGAATTTTGAGGTAATTTTTCAAGCACCGAGAACAGTATGTATGTCCACATTTGGTATCCAAGGGGTTGACGAGCGGCTGAAGGCAGATGTGACACATCAAATCTTCGTCCACCGCCTGGTAGTAGTCATAAAGATGAGTTCCATGAGGCTCGTGAAACTGCCCACACACCGCACACACTGTAGTGTCCCAACGCAGCGACATGATTGGCTAACACTGGATGTTAGCTACTCCCGATGTCCAATCACAATCTCCGCCTGTTGCCAGACGACCACACCTCCAGTTGTGTAGTGATCGCCTAACAAGCCTTTGCCGTCTGCTAGGAGGCAGCCATCTTGAAATTTCAGGTCAACATCTGCAAAAAGACCATTTATCATGAAAACGATGCAGCGAAATAGTTTACAAACAATGTCTACGGAACAAATTTGGGCTGGTTGGACTTGAAAAAGATAGGAATATACAGCACAGCTGCCAACAATCATTGTTCGGGTACAAGGTCACACAAAGCCAGCCAGGCCATGAGAAGGGGTCAGGAGTCCCAGATGGGCATCACTTAATATACATATCATATATGACATAGTGACATTCTCACCACCCAATACTCCACATGAACGATCACGATATGGCTGAAATATTGCCGATGTGACATAAAGCATTAACTCACTCACTTAACTCACTCCACATGAACACAGATTGACTTTCAAACATAGGATGATCATCTCTAACTAACATGACTAAGATAATTACTCCCACAATAAAAAGAGTCACATTTTCAAATAATCTTAACTTGGGTGAGTCAGGTGGTGACTACTGTCAACCAACCCAAGCCCCGTTACAAGCTGTGAGTGCAGCACTTATATGGCTGTCGTATGTCTATGTTAAAGCGTGGGAGTTGTGATCGACATAGCGTTAAGATCGCTGTGCGGAACAAGGCCCAGGTTTACGCTTTGAAGAGTAATCAGTTTTATATAGCTCTCATCAACATTCGCTCAATATCTCAGGAAAAATCTCTCTAACATATAGTACTCAAAAGAAGTTAAAGAACACTTGATTTTTTTCATATGACGACAATTAATCTGTCATGTGTTCTCTAACTTCTTTTGAGTAGAATACATCCATGTTGTCCCAAATCACTTTTTGTCAGTGTTTCCACTACAAGGCTACACGAACACATATGTCATGTCACCGCCTACATACATTATTTCGCTCAGGTAACACAACCCAAATCAATACATAATCAACAGGTGAAAAACTCTGCCATCTTTGCCTATGATGTAACATTTCAATCAATAAAAATTACATTTCAGAGATACCTCTCCCACTTGCAAATGAGATCCTCAAACATTCATACTGACTTAGGAATGTTTCCACCCTATTGTTGTTTCATCTTTCAACAATGAGGTGTCACATCACATTTTCAGCTAAACACAGACAAACAAAATAAAACTATTCAACAACAAAAAGTAAAAATAGCATGCAGACAAATAAATAATACAAGGTTGGAAATATTTTCTCAAACCTGTCAGCAGATTTAAAGTAGTCATGCTATTCTAAACAAATGTGGCCTCCAACATTAAATCATAAGGGCAGAGTGCATCCCCCGGCCTCATCCCAACACAACACATCCACTTAGGTTTTCAGATATCTCGAGGAGCTGACGATACTTAAATTCCATTAAACTGTGATCACACAAAAGGGAGCAGGCTTTGAATCAACTCATTTAGTTTACCCATGTAGTCCACCTAGACAATGAAATACCTCAAATATCTTTCCATGGTGGCTGAAGAATTTTCAATCCAAACTATTTCATTGATCATGTGCCAAGAGAGTTCACAGTGATCTGCCCGGGGTCCTCCAGGTAATTGTCAAGCTGTTTGCATCGCTGACACAACAAATACCAGTGACCATTTAGTGACCTCTTCATATATTAGTATTCTCCCTATGAGGGGATGACACTCACCTGATTCACAGGGCCATGAAAGTGCTCGGATTGTTACACAATGACACAGGTGTAAATTACCTGGTACAGGTAGATAGACCTAACAGTACTTCAGGCTTTACTCGTGGGAATCACTTGACACTCGTGTAACCTCATGCTGTCAATAATGTTTGAGATTATTAGGGTTGAGGGCAACATTTTTAGGGGTGGTAGGGTAGCCTAGTGGTTATCAACTTCCACATTAATGCAGGCCTTGGTTCGATTTCGAAAGATTACAAATTAAAAGTTATACAATGTTTGAATCTTAGTCATTGTTAGTATTTCTTGTTTATTGCTGCACTCAGCAATATTCCAGATATATGATGGCAGCTTGTAAACAATTGAATACATCATACCTCCATGTCAGGATGATGAGATCTGATTGGTTCACGTGATCTTGATAAAATACAATGTATCCCGCCTGGGAGGGAAATCAATTCCTGAGTGGGAGACTAAATCCCTTATACCCCACCACAAAGAAGACAAGCTGCACAAAGTGTTCTAAGCGAAGAATAAATCCCTTATACCCCGCTTTGAAGTAAAAAGCCATCTGCTTTTAAATGTCACGTGACATAGCACATGAGAACCTCAGCTCAGTCAAACAGCTATTTTCTATCAATTTTGAATTTGTTTTAATTCTTTTACAAAAGACAGATTACAAGTCCTGTTTGACAGCCATTATTGAGAATGACGGATGACAAAGTGGACACAATTTATGGATAACACATTCTTTATTTACTGTAAAGGCGACGTATCTGTATAGTTCCTTATACCGTTGTCAATCTTTACAAGAAGTCCGTAAGATAACTTCGTCACAGTATCAATTGGGGTACATGTGGTTTTATGCGTCCTTCGTTAGATATGCTACCACTCGCTTCCAGAACATGGTGTAAAATACAGGATGCATAAAACAACATGTACCCTGAGTGATACTGCTACTACTTATATTGCAAAATACTTATTTTAATCTGGAATCTCCGAGCGGTAAAGCACCCCAGTACAAAGTCAGTGGCGGATCCAGAGTAGAGTTCTGGGGGGTGGGCACCCCACTTCTTAACATATGATGACATTTTGTATGTGCACTGCCTCGTGACCATGATAACATGATTTGGTTGTTAAAGTCAAAATTATAATCATTTACATAGAGTGGATCTGGGCTTCTGGGGATCCGATCTGTCGTATCTACAAAGTCTAATATCAAAACAGTTGAGCTGAAAACTTGGGACCAGATGATCACGTATAAAGGCAGCATTTCCCTTCATAATGGCTCAATTGAGTGAGTGAGTTGGGTCTAACGCCGCTTTTAACAGTATTCCAGTTATATCGCGGCGTGTCAGCTTAATGTGGGAGGAAAGCCCGAAGTGATGTAGGTCTCAGACGTTTACCACTTCGGTGAAACCCATGAGCACGGGTATGGTGCTGACAAATCTAGAAACATGACTGGGGCGAACTGGGATTCGAACCCACAATTATAGGTTTCTGGCTTGCCCAAGTGACGCAACTCTGCACAGCGAATTGTGGCGCCTTAGACGACTTGGCCACCCGTGGTCCCTCATAATGGCACAAAACTTTTGTACATGACATGCATAGTGGTACAAGTACAAGTGGTATAAGTAGTTTATTAAAATAGTTCAACTAAGAGCTGAAGAACATGACATTGAATATCCCCGTGACCAGCTTGGGAAGCATACAAACTCCTAATATCTCTGACAGAGTGCTATAAGTCTCCTACCAACACAATTAAGTTAAGAACCACAGTGCAAGACATGCAATTCCTGACCCACTGGGGAAATTTACAATCTGTCTTCCTATGTGGAGCTATGTGTCATAACATCGCAGTCAAGTTTGGAATACTAATGTTGGCTAGAGCTACTGTGTGTCAAGCGTATTTGCAGTATAGGTGAGGTGAGGTGAAATGGGGTTTAACGTCGCGTCCAAGATTATTGCACTTTTATAGCGACTTGCATGTACTTGTGTGTGTTTGTGTGGCTGCTTGTACTAGTCCGGACTGATGCCGATTTATAGTGCTAGCTCACTGAGATACCATGCCGCAGTTTAACATGAATACCCCACTCAGACACAGTATACTGACTCCGAGCCGACCAGTCCTTGTTTTAGCCCCTTAATGCCGAGCGCCAGACAGGGTAACAACAAGTACCATCTTTTAACGTCTTTCGAACCCCGGACCTTCCACTCTCCGGGTAGACGTTCTACCACTAGACCACTGAGGCGGTCATTTGCAGTATAGAGTATAATATCACAACAAAACTAAAGTCCATGACATGTAATAGATTCTCTGCTACTGAAATATACAACCTACCTCCATCATCACATGATACAGAACATGGCATAACTCTCATATCACAACAGTGGAGTAAAGTACTCTGTCAATAATATGCAAAAGGTTCTGAACTACATGTACTGAAATATACAAGCTACCTACATCTCCCAATACAGTATACAGAATCGTATCAACAGTGGAGTACTTGTCCATGATATGAAATAGATTCTCTACTACTGAAATATACAAGCTACCTACATCTCCCACTACAGTATACAGAATCGTATCAACAGTGGAGTACTTGTCCATGATATGAAATAGATTCTCTACTACTGAAATATACAAGCTACCTACATTTCCCAATACAGTATACAGAATCGTATCAACAGTGGAGTACTTGTCCATGATATGAAATAGATTCTCTACTACTGAAATATACAAGCTACCTACATCTCCCAATACAGTATACAGAATCGTATCAACAGTGGAGTACTTGTCCATGATATGAAATAGATTCTCTACTACTGAAATATACAAGCTACCTACATCTCCCACTACAGTATAGAGAATCGTATCAACAGTGGAGTACTTCTGTCCATGATATGCAATAGATTCTCTTTTTACTGAAATATACAAGCTACCTACATTTCCCAATACAGTATACAGAATCGTATCAACAGTGGAATACTTCTGTCCATGATATGAAATAGATTCTCTACTACTGAAATATACAAGCTACCTACATCTCCCAATACAGTATAGAGTATTATATCAACAGTGGAGTACTTCTGTCCATGATATGCAATATATTCTCTACTACTGAAATATACAAGCCACCTACATACACACATGATACAGAACAGGGAATAACTCTCATAACACAACAGTAAGTAAAGAAATATATGACATGTAATACCTGCATGCTCAGCTGATGAAATATACAAGCTACACCTCCCAGTACACTACAGGGGTTTAACATCTCCTATCACAACAGAGCAGTGAGCTATGAACATGGAAAGCACGCTAAGCGTTACGCCAGATTATCCAATGTCACATGACAGGAAACTGTTGAAAAGCTATTCAGATGGAAGATTTA